TCGCAGGCTGCCCTTCGTGAATCGGCACGGCCGTGCTGGAAGTGGCACGGCCGTGCAAGCATGGCAGTAGCTGATCCGCAATATCTTCAATTATGGCACGGCCGTGCTGAATTTGGCACGGTCGTGCTAATGCCTGGCACGGCCGTGCTGAATCTGGCACGGCCGTGCTAATGCCTGGCACGGCCGTGCTGAATCTGGCACGGCCGTGCTGAAAATTGGCTTGGCACGGCCGTGCTAATGCCTGGCACGGCCGTGCTGAATCTGGCACGGCCGTGCAGCATAGGCAGGAAGGTTGCAGGCACTTTGGTCTTCTTAAAACAGTCACAACTTCTTATCCAGAGCTCCGTTTGAGGCGTGCAATATATCGTTGGAAAGCTCTTCAAGTCTACTTTCGAATGCAATTAGAATCACTCCATTATCATTTGTATACAGAAAGTTGTGAGCAAAATAGTGAACAGGTGTCATATTTGTGAACTGTTCTGCCTTGCCTGCTACTTAACTTGCCTTTCAAGGCCTTGAGAACCGCAGCAAAGCCTTAGCTTGGTGGACTAGGATCGATAATAGCCTGATTACGCACCAATGGTTCGGGACTCGACATAACTTGGTCAACTATACCTGTTAACACACCAAAAACAGACCGAAACCCGTGAAGCACGTAATATGAAGGAAACGAGTGTAACAAGGCAATAAACGACCAAAACGGGCCTAAATACATCCAAAATCACCCATTTATATGCCTTAAAGCGCGCCCTAATGTGCGCTTGTCACAATGGTGGTGTCATAATTTGTCTATATGTAGATGACATGTTGATCTTTGGAACTAGTTTGTCACAAGTTGAGTTGACAAAGGCTTTCCTTAGCTCAAAATTTTCCATGAAAGATATGGGAGAAGCGGATGTCATCTTGGGAATAATAATAAAGAGGGAACAAGGCAAGTTGATTTTGACACAATCTCATTATATTGAGAAGGTGCTCAAAAAGTTTAATGTTGAGGACCATTCAACATCTCTTTATTCAACTCCTATGGGTCCTAGCATTAAATTATTGCCTAATGAAGGTAATGCAATTTCACAATTGGAGTATGCTAGAGTTATAGGATGTTTGATGTATGCCATGACAAGTACAAGACCGGATATTGCATTTGCGGTAGGTCAATTGAGTAGATATACTAGTAATCCTAGTATGCAACATTGGCAAGCAATTCGCCGTCTGTTGAAGTACTTGATGAAAACCATAAATTATGGTTTGTGTTATAGCGGGTTTCCTTCGGTTGTAGAGGGATACTCGGATGCAAGTTGGATCTCTAATAAAGATCATTCATCCACAAGTGGATGGGTATTCCTATATGGAGGAGGTGCCATTTCATGGGCTTCCAAGAAACAAACTTGCATTGCGGACTCCACAATGACATCGGAGTTCATTGCATTGCATTCAGCTGGTAAAGAAGTTGAATGGTTGAAGGATTTAATGCATGAGATACCCTTGTTGCCAAAACCGATATCACCAATAGCAATACATTGTGATAACAATGCAACTTTGGCTAAGGCATATAGCCAAGTTTACAATGGTAAGTCAAGGCACATTGGAGTTCGTCATAGCTTCATACAAGGACTTATCAAGGATAGTGTCATTACTATTGATTATGTTCGAACAAATGTTAATCTCGCCGATTGCTTTACTAAGGCGTTGGCTAGAGATGTAAATAAAAGGATGGCAATCGGTTTAGGATTGGAGCCCTAAATAATTACAAATTTGGGAATCTCAACTTGACGCCCAATAAGACGTTGGGTCTCAAGTTCAACGAGATCAATTTCCTTATTTGATAATTGGGAACTTGTTTTTTTTCCATCCTAGGTAAGTTCCGGATTCTCTGTGATGTATAAGAGGTTGCTTCGCTTAATAGATTTCCTAATATAATGCTTTATCACAGGAGCATGGTCTTTGGAAGTCTACCTATGTAAGTACGAGGTGTAGCCGCTTCAAGAAGCTAATTTAGGCATAGCTTTGATGTACTTATGAATAGATATGGACTCATGGCTTAAAGTGTCAAGTATAAAATGTATTCAAGTAATAGACTTTATGTGTGTAGTATCTTCAGGTCTCCAATAAGTGTCGAATTTGGTTCAATTGTTTAGCAACACCAAATGGATACGGATTCTTGGAATGTGTACTACACTAAGTGGGAGTTCAAGTCTAAGTACACTCTCATTTATGCATAGAGTTGTTTTGTGATGATGATGTTTTTGCAATGAGTCTTGTATAATACTCTAAATGGGGGAGGATTGTAGAATTATTTAGAGTATTAAGACTAATTTCATGTTATTTAATTAATTTACTTAGGTTAAGGTGTTATATTATTAATTAAATAAATAATTAAAGCAATTAATCATTCATAATTGATTAGTAAGTTTCAATGCTTTGTGTCATTTGGCTTGTATTGCCAAAACAATACTAGCAAGTTTCATTGCATTGTTTGGTGCCAAAACAATACTAGTAAGTTACATTGCATTGTTTGGTGCCAAAACAATATTAGTAAGTTTCATTGCATTGTTTGGTGCCAAAACATATTAGTAAGTTACATTGCATTGTTTGGTGCCAAAACAATACTAGTAAGTTACATTGCATTGTTTGGCTTTGGTATTATGCTTTATATATATGTTTAATAACATATGATGTAAAAAATTCTTCTTCTTGAATACGTTTGCAAGTTACCAATATTTTCATCATCACAAATACAAACCACTTGAATCATTGTGATTACAATTTGACTACAACAAATTGTAATTGTTCTGTTTTATCTCCTAAGTGAATTTTTCGTGAAACCCGGTTGTAGTATTAGGGTCGAAATTACACTTTTGGGAAAGTGATTTCGTTCACGACTCGGATAAATTTCTCTGTTTTCATTTCTATATTTCTTTGTAATTTCCCTTGTTTACTATTATCCCCAACAGTTTTCAGAGGTGTTTGTGGGGAATGATTTACGAGTTAAATTGTGCAAGGTTGGGTTGTAGTGTAATGGCAAATGTGGAGAGCAATTCGGATAAAAACATTGATCTAAATGAGGTGTTTAAGGATTGTGGAGAAGAAGAGTATGGAATAGCAAACGACCCGGAAGTGGAAATGACCTTCGTATCAGGAGAAAGGTATGCCCAATTTTGCCATGACTATGCTTTCAAAAAGGGTTTCATGTTCTTCACTGAAACTAGCAAACTAATGGATCAGTACAAGAACGAAGGTGTTACTCGAACAGGGGTGGGGAAGTATGAGGCAATGTACCATATGATATAAGATTTAAACGTAGTGTGTGACCTGGATGTTGCCCCGGGATGTTACTTTGAGTAATTTCTTTTTTTTTTAATAAAGTGTTTGATTTTTTTAGTATTAATACGTACTTTAGAATATAATGTTAAATATCAAAGAGAATATACAATGAGTAGTATGAGTCTCTTTTGTTTTTAGTGTGGATGTTATTTTTAATTATACATTTAAATACATTTATATGGATGAATAGACCATAAATTATCACTAGTTAAGATGGTAAGACATGTGGTATTCATTCCATGAGTTTGGGAGTTCAAACCTCATTATTTAGGAACACTTTTTAAAATATAAGTATAAATGGGAGGGTGTAAACAGACTAAAGGGTAATTCTTGTTGTCTTTTCTGCTAAATTGTGGAATTAAGCGTTTTCTAGTAATATTATGTACAGTTCTTAATTCAGTAATGCAATTCTTATAACATCTTTTTCACATTTATAACAATTTGATATTGATGTCTATACTGATACCACAACTAAGAATTTGATATGAATATTGTTTGTAAGACTTCTATTGCAAATCCATTTTTGATACTAAAATAATACAAATGATGAATTACAAAATATTTTCAAACCAATTTCAATACTACAACAATACACCTGGTCTCCGTCGTCCTGTTCCGCGCGCTCACCCCCGCCGTACTTTGCCTTTGATTTCACCCTCAATTATATTGTTGGCAATCATCGTATGGACCACATCACTCTCTGATTTCGCCGACCATCTAAACCACATCACTCTCTGATTTCGCCGACCATCGTCCCTTCCTTTCCTCTCAACCACCTTACTCACCTTAAAGCCACCATCGTCACCCCTCCATGGTGTCTTCTCGCAAATCCTCCAACATCATTCACCGCCATAAATACAATTAAATTCAACAAATTTAAATTTCAAAAAATTTCGTTTGCAAAATTTTCAACCGAAATTTCTAAACTATTCATGCGGGACCAAATAGGTCAGCTTTACTCAGCCAATAAAAAGCTTTGTCAATGTGTATCCTTTCCGTTTACTACATATAATTACCAGAGGTAAATATCAATATCCGGCTAATCGCCTAACAGTTAGACACGTAGCAAGGGGGTGAAATGCCGTTAGTGCCCTCGACGTAGACTACAGTTTTCTCATCAAGGGCATGTCAGTCACCTAGCACCATGACGTTTGAGTAACTAGTTAGGGAAATAGACTTTTTTCAAAATGAACACTCCTAGCCGGCCAGAAGACACAATATACCGTGCTATAGATAAGCAGCATAATTTACATCACAGGCAGTATGCTTAAAGTAACTTTTACGAGGTTATAATGGTACCGACAGCAAAACCGCAGGGATAAAACGGTGCCATGAAGACAGACAGCAAATATGGCCATATGGATAATTCATAGTGGGCAGTCTAGACACTCTATAGTCTATACACACTTGAATGTATTGCAGGAAATGCAGTTTCATAGCCTGACGGCAACAATACTGCAGCATTGCAGAGTAATTATTAGAACAGCTATCATTCTTTGGTCAATACCAAAGCCATTTTATTAAATTCAGCAAACAAAATAAGTTATCCTTAGCATATCAGGACTTACTTAAAGGGTAACATTTGATTAGCTAATATGAACCTCACAAGCAGTATGATTAATAATGATGCAGTGGCATATGCCAAGAAGTACTTAAAACTTGATAACAACTGACGAATATAACAAATTAATCGTGGTAGTTAGTTGTTGAAATTAATAGTATTTACATGCACGATGTTGAATTCAAAGAAAATTATGCACTCCATGATTTATTGAGATACTAATAAATTCATGACCATAAGCAGTGAAATAAACACCTTTTCTACATTCGTAAGCAGCGAAACAAGCACCTTTATTTTCCACATTCCTTTCAAGCGTTCGTCCTATAAATTCCACTAACGTTGTTCCACTTCTCACCTTCACAAGCTACAAAGGAAAAAAAAGAAAAAACTAGTTCAGTTGATATCATCTAGGCTATCAGGCAACAATATTGCAGCATAATCCATTGTCAACAAGCTGTAATACATCCATATAAGAAAAAATGAAATCAAAGTTGCAAATAAAAACAGAAAGAGGCAACCTGCAGGAAAATGATGGATTCGAACCGGTATCTCCTACCGGACAATACTTCAACAGCAAAAAACTGTCAGTTTGCATCCTTGCAGTTCTGGAATCTGAAGTTCCCGTTGATGACTCATGTGCAATTCCACAACTACGAGATGTTTTCCTTCCCATTAACCCCAGATTTTCTTCTATAATGGTAATAAATATAATTCATATCTTCTTTTAGTTTTCACTTCTACTTTAAAAAGCTACTCTCACCTTAGCAAATAGCAGTGTTACTGACTAGCTAAATTACTTCAAGCAGGTAACTGACAAGAACGGTGTAAAGCAATGGAAAAAATTAGAAGTGAACCTTCAAGATCACCTTATTATTCCCAGCTTCCCAGAGGACCTATCAGTTGAATCATACGACGAATACTTCGACGAATATCTGACAAAAACTAGTTCAGATTTATTGCCACAAAATAGGCCTTTATGGGAAGTTCACATATTCAAGTACCCAACAAGCAAAGCAGCTGGTCATATAATCTTCAAGCTTCACCATGCACTTGGTGACGGCTACTCTTTGATGGGAGCACTTCTTTCTTGTGTCAAAAGAGCAGATAATCCTTCTCTTCCATTAACTTTTCCTACAACTCGATCAAGCTTAACAAACAAGAGCAACTCGACGAGAATTATCGACTGGGTGCCACAAACTATATCTGCAATCTTCAAAGGAGCCTATGATTTTGGATGGAGTTTTCTGAAAAGCACTTACAATCCAGATGATAAGACACCCATCAGGTCCGGAAAGAGTCAGGGTTTCCAACCAACCAAAATCTCTACTATTGAACTATCCCTAGACCACATTAAACTAATCAAAGCAAGAGTAGGAACGGTACGTTATCCTTTCTATTTCTTCTTGCTTTTTTTTATATTATAATTAAAACGGTTTAAAAATAATAATAGTAATTATAATTTTTATTTAGTAAATGCGATTCATATCAGTAAAAATTACTCGTACTAACAAAACAAAACTAATACAGCAATAAATCAGAAAAATATACTTTAATCGTAATAAATGACTCTCAATCAGTAAAATTAGTTTGTAATAAATACTCCGTATATATAGTTTCAGTCCGAGAAATATGGTAAAGGCCGTATTTAGCTGGTTTTTTGGACGCCTAATTAGCATTATTATACGGAGGCATAAATTCTTTCCAAAACTTGGATACTGCATCCTAAACTTTAGAACAAAAATTTATGATCCCACCATAAAGGCATAAAATCCCATAAAACAACCACCAAATATGAACTACCTTGTGTCCATGTGGTCCAAATGAAAATAGATTTAGGCCAATTAGCCTTAGAAAACATGAATTCTTATACTAAAAGTAGTTGCAGACAAACAATTCTTTTCAAGAAACGTAGTACTTGAGCTCCCTCTATTTATTTCAATCCAGTATTCATCAATGTTTCACAAAAGCAAGATCACCCAATATTTTAGGATTGTTTCTATAATGATTGGCATAAATGGAACACCCTTACTCTCTTCTTGGCCACATATAGAAAAGGTTCTCGTCACCTTATTATCACCTTATTATGAAAAAATAAGCCTAAGATAGGTTATATTTGGTAAAATAAGGGTACTTAATCAATTCACAAGCATAATAAGTGCTAATAGTTTTAATTAATTTAAGTTCATGACCTTCATGATCAGTAAGTTCAAAAAACCATGGATTTCATTTGATGATGTGATTTCTAATTTTTTATCCTCTGGTACGGTATAATTACAGCTTTTAATAACATCATCCTACAAAAGAAAACTTTTATGCTCCTACCACTATCAGAACACAAAACAAATATTAAGAGGTACTCGTACTCCCACCATCCCATTATTAAGTGTTCATTTCTCATATTTCACAGGAATTATGGAAGGTGGACGGAGTATGTAATATTCTTAAAAGTAGAGGAATTTCATATTCAAAGGAGGGGGAAAAAAAACAATATCATTAATGAAATTTTGGAAATAGAGTATTTAATATGGGAAAGGTATATAAACATGTAATGACACAAAACTTGAGATAATATAATATAGAAAAGGTAAAAAAAAGTAAATAAGTAATAGTATTGCGATATAATTATTGTGATGTTTTTGGAAATAGGCACTTAAGTTTGGGGCATCCAATTAGGAATACAACCACTTAATAATGGGGATGGAGAGAGTACATTAGGATCATTGAGTGGAAAGGCAAGGATTGAAAACTGAATCATTGTGCTTTCAAAGACTTGACTCATGGCTTTATTTGTCATCGTGTTGGAAAGAATCAATTTCAGACACATGTACAGCAAGAAAATTTTACACCTACATGCCAACCTCTTTAACTCGTAACTAAAGCAATTTGAAAGCCACCCTGCATCTCCGCAGAATCTAAATTAACCCCCAGCTAAATACAGGTACACAACCTGATCAGCACATATTCCATCTTAATCACCAAGCACAACTTTAGCCAGAGGCTTTGCTGAGAGAACTGAAGGAGTTAACAAACTATTGAAGCAACAAAAAAAGCATCAGTATTGATTCTGTTCTTTTTACTCCTGCAGACAATCAATGACATTCTTGCAGGCATAGCTTTCCATGGGATTCGAGTATACATGCAAGAAATTGACCCAGAATCCAACATTTCACAATCTACAGCTTTGGTGCTGCTCAACACTAGGAACATCACAAGATATACTTCAGTTAAGGAAATGAAAACGGCACATACCAAGATGTGGGGGAACCAATTTGCATTTCTGCATGTAGCAATCCCTGAACTGATTGACGATAATTCCTCCAACCCCCTTGATTTTGTCTATAAAACACAGCAACAGATTGCGAGACTCAGAAATTCACCAGCAGTTTATCTCACAGCTCAGTGCCTAGAGATTGCAAGGAAATGCAAAGGACCTGAGGTACATGAATCTAATGATCATATTTCTTTATGCACATGCTGTCTTCTTTTGAGTTTTCGATTTTTAATTAGACTTCAGAATGCCTTAGATCAAGATAATAGTGTACTTGCCTTAATAGAAATTCTCTTGGTGAGCAAACAAGCTTCAGTCACAGGTGAATATGATTCAGAGACGTTCCCACATCAATGAACTTTTTTTGAATCAACATACATGAAGTGAAACGTTTATCTCCGTCTCCGTTTACCTATATTTGAAAATAAGTCCAGATTAAATGCACGTTATTGACGATCAGAAATTTATACATAAGTGATACTGGCTTATCTTAAAATACTGACATAACTATCTTTTAGTACATTTGTATTAGTCTTATGTAAGCATATAGCATAAAGAACAATCTTATCATCATACTTATTGAAACTAAGCAGCTCTGAGTATTGGTGTGGACAGCATAAATTTGAGGACACTAGACTTATTACAGATTTCTAAAACCCAACAGAACCAGTCCGATAACTTCCCTTTGTATACTTAATCAATTAAGCTTGTATATTAGAATGGCAGTTTGTTGATTGACTATACTAATAAAAAGAAAGACTAATAAACAAAAACAAAATACATTCTGATTCAGGCAGCAGCTGAACTTATCTACAATACAATGAATAAATCAAGCATGGGAATGACAAACATGATAGGTCCAATTGAAAAAGTGGCCTTGGTTGACCATCCTGTCAAAGGCATATACTTCATGGTTTGCGGCACTCCTAAGGTAAGGGTTTGTAATACTTCTGTCCTTCACTTAAAGTATAATACTATATTGATTGGTCTATGTCACTTTGGTAATGCAAACCTTAAACATCATTTCCTAAACATTTGTCAGTTAAGTTGCTTGATCGATCTTATGTCAACCTCAATTCAACTACAAATTGCTAAATTCTTCATGTAGATTATCAGTTTTCAGAATTAGAATAGATTTACTGCTTTAGTTAACTCTTGACCCTTCATCCACCACTAACAATTACATTGCGGACTTGCAGAGCCTAGTAATAACAATCATGAGTTATATGCAAACTGTGAGGATCGGAGTAGGAGTTGAAAAGGGCCTCATAGACTCACAGAAGCTGACCTCATGCATCAAGAATGCTTTTGATCTGGTGTACGAGGCAGCCTCAAAGAGCCAATAAAAAAAAAAACCTTCAAACAACAGAAAGCTTATCCTCAAGGTGCTGAATTGGAAATGATGCAACTCACCTCAAATATATGACATTTCAGTTAGCTCAAGCCTTGCAATTCTTAACTCTATTCATCAGCAATTACTATGTCTATTATAGTGGCATTTGGATCAAAAAAAAAAAGGGTTCACGGCTATATATATGTAAACTCTCCTTAAATTAGTGTGGCATTATGGGTAATATATTATTGTCATAAATGACAACATCTTCTCTATAGATTTATGATAATATACATCTCAGAAGAGGAACTGTAATAGCATGTTGGATAATAACATGAAATCGTCAATGTTATATGCTATTCCAACCTTGTTCTTGTATACTATTGTGCTCAAACATTGTCAGCTTAGACCAGGATTATCTCTCATCACATCTTTGTGAAACTATTAAACGTACAAAAGCTCCATAATAATCTCATGAAAATATCGTAAGGCGATATCTAGTGGTGATAACTTCGTATTATGATCCAATTTGTGTAAGGTTACAAAGTTTGGGTGACTGATCAATGTCAAATGTGGCTCAACTACCCTCAAAAGAAAGTAGCACCATTGTTAAAATTCCAATTAAAATCTAGGAATTTTAATATCCTATAATTATAAGAAATGTGTTGTGTTATGCCTTGAATTCTATGATAATTTGGCATTGCAAACAAAGCCTAAGTATTCTGATTTCTTCTAGAAGTATAGAGCTGTCACAGGAAGAAAATAACTCATCAATTTAAAGTAAAGTCTTGCTTGAAGTTTAATATGGGTATTTAACACCCCTGCATTTTATTTCCCACAAGATTGAAGTCTTTCAACATTGGTAGCTCAGATATGACTTTGAGGGCATAAAGCATATTTCATTAACTCTGCCTATTGACTTCTAAACCCCAATCATAGAAGGGTAAAAGATACTTACACCCTTAAGCACCTACAGTTGGGAGGATTCGACTTCGTGGACATTAAGGTTACAAGATGAATCCTCAACCAACTACATCAAGTCTTGCAAACTTGTAAACCACAAAAGGGTACCTTTTTACTGTGAGTTACAGAGCAACAGATAGAGTGAAAGAATTATGCAGTTGACTCTCCTTGCATATTGAGAGTTTGAGCCATATATTTTGTACACATTCAATCGTGTATATTTATCTACAGAAAACTATGGGCTAATACAATTGTCCCTCCTCGCCAGGTGGATGTAGGTCATGTTGACTTAATCACATAAATCCGATAGTTACTAATTTTCATATTTTCTCTTCATTTTCAAAATTATTTCTAATATTTTCTGTTCATTCTCAAAATCATTTCTAATATTTTCCATTTGTTGTTCAAGTTCAACTAAAACCAAATAATCTAAATCCTGGCATAAAAAAAATTGCTATAATTCTATGCTCGAGTTGTTTCAAGGTGTCTAATGCTACTTGAATAGAAAATATTGAAATATTCAGGTCTTGATATGATTCGAATACCAACAATCCAACATCATTAGGTTAATACTCTGTAAACTAAATATTAAAATCATAATCCAAATTCTAGAATTGGATTTCCAGCATTACAATTAGCAACAACAGTAGAGATTAATTTCAGCATTAAGTTATTAACATGTACGATTACAATCAGTTAGGTAATTAATTAAGAACTTAAGAACCTAACATCAATATCGCAAAAAATTCCAATAAATTCATGTAAAAAATAAAGAATTTGCATGCTCACAATATTTTTTTCATACTGGATTCTGGAAATTTAGGTTTAAAATCTCCATACCAAATTCGCCAACAATCAGCTTCTCTTCCCAAGTGCCCAGATAACATTGGTCTGAAATGCTCTCGTTTTACTATAATTGGGGAAATTTAGGATTTTACACGTAATCATAATCTCCTAGGCTCAAATTCTTTCAACAAATTCATTTTTTTTGGAAAGGTTCTCGTGTACTTGGTACGAATTTTTTACAATCGTGTTATTGTCGTTTTTTGTACTACCAGAGTATCGGAGATTCGGAGTATTGACTATTTACGTGCCCCATTTTGAGTCTTTGACTGGCCGCACACTTATCGATGCATAATTTTGATTAATGATATACTACGTATTTAATTAAAAAAAGTATTTAATTAGGAAAAAGATAAGAGCGGCATATAAGAAGCTTAAAATGAAAAAAAATTGACAATAAATAAACATTTATTACACTGATTTACTCGTGAATTGTCAATAAATTTTCAATTTAATACTAAAAAAGGAAGTATATTAAATGCTTGTAGGGCTGCATATAGCATTATCCATTTAATTATCAATAAGTATGAATTATAAAAAATTAATAATTTTAAACTTTGGGATGATTCTAACGAGTATTTATTGGTTATATTTTGTCTTACTTATAAAACACAAACAATGGTCAAAGTAGTGCATATGAATAGTGTCAAAGTCAAAATGGGACACTTAAATAAAAACGGAGGGAGTATATATCAAATGTTATTGTAACTCTGATATGTTGTTGGACTTGTCTACCTGAGTCCATGTAGACTGGACATTCGGGCCGAGTGTAGATCAGGTCATTTCAGGTCTAATATGCATTTGGGTCGGGTCAAATTGTGTATTGACTATCAAATAAATTCGGTTCATAGATAATTTGATGGGTGTCTAGTTAAAACTTCGAGTCAAGTTCAGGCCGGTTCAAGTAGGGTCAGGTCAAGACTTCGGGACAAGTTCTAACTGGATCATTTTTAAGTCAAATTGAGTTCTGGACTTCTGGTCTAGACTTCGAGTCAAGTTTGAATTGGGTCATTCAGGTATTTGAGTATTTCGGATAAAATCATTTCAAGTATTAGGCAATATCGCTTCAAGTCACATTGGGTATTGGGTCTTTATGGGCCACATTGGGTATTGAGTCTGTATGGATCAATAATTCATGTATCAAGTAACTTTCAAGCCACGTAAAATTGGATATCGGGTAAAATGGATCAGGTCACTTCGAGCATCAAGTCAAAAGTGGCTCCAATTCAGGTTGGGTCGGGCCGCATTTCAGGTCCATATCATGTTACAAGTCAAGTAATTCGGGTCATATAATCGGCTATAACCTATGAGTCAGTTTTCCATGTCTAACCCATGCATATTTTCAAGTATAAACTTTTCATTATTTCAATAATATAAAAGTTCAACCATATCAAATTAAACCATTTTAAATGAGATTTGATCTTAACATATAAAGTTCATTATGAATAACCTTTTAGATTTTAAGGTGAACAAAATTTTATAAAATAAGGTGAACGGAAAAAAGCCTTAAAACCCACCATTGAAGAAAAGAAGGGTAAGTTCAAGTTACAGACATACTGACATAGTACAAGGTAATTACAATTTATTTCAAATCGGCTTACAAAACAATTGTAATTAATTTGAGATCGAAAATCTACATACATATCCATGTTACACCTTCAAAATTGAACAAAATGCAAAATGATTACAAAATCAAAAGAAAAAAGGGTTGAAGTGTCTTCTGTACAACATAAATATAGGACTCCCTACCCAATTTATAACATTTAAAGAATAAAAATCCAGAAATTTTATTATCTTCAAACCTCTGTATACTCAATATTTCTTCAACAAGCTCCTCATATGAATATAGCACCAGGTTTTCGTCAATGATTTTTTCCGCCTCCAACCATCAAAATACTTTCCGATCACCCTTTTGTAGCTAGGCCTTTGTTGCACCATCTTCCAGTACTCAGCAATGTTTGGCCTAGTGTTAATGTACTCATTTTCTAATCTTAGGAGAACCAAACGAGCTAATATTGGGATGAGCATAACATCTGCCATGGTGAACTCTTCTCCGGCTAAGTAAGAAGTATTGCTCAATTGTGTTTCTATTTCATCAAGAAGCCTAACCAAATGTTGTTCACTCCTCCTTATGACCTCTGGATCTTTCAACTTCTCTTCTGTATCATATTCATTTCTGAGCCTAAGGTGATAGGCACTTGCAAGATCAGGAAACTCTGACATCCTAGCAATAATCACCTGCCTTATGAATTTTGAAACATATAGCCGGTGTTTCTCAGGGACATGAGAGAGCGTGAAATATTTGGGATTCCACTCTTGGATTTTGTGCATCCATTCAAGGACTTCTCTGCTGCTGAGCTTAATGCCATCTCCGACTGAAGTGACAGCTGCTATCCTTTCTATGTACCTGCAATCCAAAGGAGAGTTCCATGGAATCAACTTTCCCATCCTTTCAACTCACATTATTATTTTTGCCAATATTTAAATTTAAAGTAAAAGTTAAAAGTTGCAAGCGAACTTTATGTCTAAAGTAACAGGATTTTTAATCATTAATCATCAGCCAAATACGAGTGCATATCAGCGCATAGCACCTATTGACAAACAAAGTGTATAGGAGGGTAGAAGCGTAATTTACCAGGCATTAGAAAACTTGAATATTCCACTTAACTGTGCTAGTGGTATATTTAATACTCCGAAAATGTACCACTGAAATCACATTGGTACATTTAATCAAAGTGGTACGTACATTTTGTAGTTTGAATTGTACCACTAGAAAACCAGTGCCATCCTATACACTTTCTAAGCACATAGGTGCTATACGCTAATACTTATTCGCCAATTACCATATCAGAAATTCAGAACAGGCTACAGAATCCTATATATCAACACAATACTATAAATTTTTTCCACAAGTGAAAGAAAATGTCTTCTAGGACACGTGAATACATGCAACTTTCTGATGGGCTGTATTCCAACTTGGATTACGACAATTTCAAATATTTCACTAAAAATTTGTAAAGGTAGCAGGCCTACCTTAATGATCAAGGGTTAAATGGATACTGTCCTTTTGCAAGACTTAAAAGAGCTTCTTTACAATTGTATAGGAAAAGCAATACAAATGTGACCACCCCCTACCTCATAAGTGAGAACCTCTGTAGAGTCATTAAGGTGATGGTACATTTGAGTATTTGACATCTACAACTTCCTTGAATAACAACAGATAGACATCCAAAACTGAATACCCTGAACTAAGGATAGCATAACCGAATTAAGTACACAATCAGCAATAAAAACAAGCATATGTCAAAGACATACTCTCTAACTAATGGAATATACAGTGACGGTGTCTATTGAACTCCATATGAGTGCTTCAAGGATAAAAATTTATGGCTAGAGGTATTGAAAATTGATTGAAAAGTACAGTGGCAAAAGAAATTGCTTACTGTAGTATC